GCCGTCATGGCCCAGCTCCGACTCTGTGCTTTGATTGTGTTATTTACTGGCTATGGAAACCTGGACAAATTGCTTTACACCTATGAGACCTGCTTCCTTTGCCTGTGTGTCTGGAAGTAAAGCAGCCCTGTCTCCCTCACCGTTTTCTTAGAGGAATTAATTGAAAAAAATGGCAGTTTAAACATTGAAACTTACAACACTCTACACACAGGGGTACTTATTATTATTATTACTACTACTAATATAGTAGTTCCCTTATCTGTCATTAATATAATTAACAGCAATGCAGGGGCACAGCAAAATCACTATAACTAAAAGAGAGAGCAAGGAGTCTGAACAAGTTGCCCAAAACTATAGATTTTAAAACATTAGCATGCAGAGGGATAGTACTAGCAGATGCTATGTCTCAGGCTGTTAGGAAAAAATTCAAGTGCCAAATTCTCAATTACTTGCTTTCATATGTGTTTGTAATATTTCAATTATTTTAAATCGGTATATTTACAGTATTTTCTTTAAAATAAAATATCATTTACAACTTGTTTCTCTTAAGGCTCCCTGTCAAAAGGGTGCTTGTCTGGTATTTATTTCTATCAATCTCAGTTAATTACTCAGAGATGAGTGTCCCATGCCTGTGTTGTGGTACGTTATTTCTTTAAACTTCACCATGAAGGTGATGGGCACGGGCATCACTGAACATAAAATGCCTTCCTTGGGAGGAACCTGTTTATATCCCCACACAAAGACCTTATGCTATGCAACAGCAAACAACAATAAAGATCATTGTTCTGCAAACATCTTTGACCTTGAAGCATAGATGGTTGTTTAATGGTCAGTATTCTAAACGTTTTATTGCGAGTGTTCAAATCCAGATCACTTAAACTACTATTTGTGTGATGGGACTATAAGAAAACCCCATATGTTTGTGTGTGTGTGTGTGTGTGTGTGTGTGTGTGTGTACACGCAAATATGTATGATTCATTACACGAAAGAGAGTCCTTGAGCCCTGCTTTCTGTCCTTGTTCATGTTTTCTGGTGTTGGTTTGAGACGGAAATCAGATAAGAGAACAGAACAGTTCAGTTTGTACAAGGTCACAAGGTCACTTGGGGGACCAGAACATACCAGCAACAGGTCTATTCTCTCAATTTGAATGCTATCAGCCTCAACACTCCGTGAAAAAGGATGTGACCAGCATAACTCAGGTTCATCCCCTACCATGGATTCAGCATCACAGGAGACTAAAGACACAAAACAAATAATCCTATGCCCAGGACCCATGGCCCAATAAATGACCAATAAATGTGTATGGGAAACAGGCTGGTAAGGGCCTCAGGAAAAATTCCATCTGGTTGATGGTTCAGGGTGTGATGGGCATGTGAAGTGATCTGGGAAACCTTCCTGAGGTAGAAATAAAGCTAGACAAATGCCTTCAACTTTATTATCCATTGGCCTCTTAGAATCCTATTTTAAGTGAATGGAATAAATAAAAACATTATACTAGAACAGTTGTTAAAATGTAAAAGTTATTATATAGTAATAAGTATACTTCTGTATTATGATTATAAATTTTATTTTATTAATGATTATAATTTTGAATTAATGAATGTAAATGATAATATAAGAATGTAGGATCTCTAGTATAGAACAGATGTGTCTGTGGTTCCAGTTTTGACAAAGTCACACACATTTCTGATATCTTTGTAGTTTGTTACTGACATTCATAATAAAAGGAATGAATATATTTCTGTTAAAAGTTAGTGAAAAATCAAGATGTACTTTTTTTCCCACCTAAGTTCACAAGTCTCCTTTAATTTTATCCCTGAGCTCTTTGGGGAATCTGTAAATTGCAGTTTAAGAACTGCTGCTAGCACCATTATTTTGTTAAGGAAATATAGTGATAAAATAACTCCTAATGGCATATTGCTATGCCCATAGATGACTGCATCACTCCACCCTCATCAGAAACTTCTTCATGCAGTACATGGGGATTAACAGAGACCCACAACTGGGCAGCATGGAGAGAGTGAGACTTTGGAGCACTCAGCCCTAAATGAGATGTCTTCATTAACACTCCTCACAAAAGAGCTCAGAGATCTATGCAGAAGAGGGTGTGGGAATATCGTAAGAGCCACAGATTGTGGATGACCCCAAGGAAAGAGCATTTTCCAGATACAACAGAGCTGGTGTACACATGAACTCTCAGAGACTGTCATGCACAAGATTTGCACAGGCTCAAATCAGAAACCAATCCTACCACAGAGAAGGGGGAGTGGGCATAAAGTCCTACACCTACTCAAGATGCCTATTTGCAATTGATAGCTTATAGGAGTTGGAGAATCTGTTTATTGTTTGTTTTTTCCAGTGGAGTCACACTGGGCATCTCAACTACATTCCTGGACAGGCCTTGTACTTGGGAGTAGCTGGCCAACAAAAATTGGACTAGATTTTTGTATTTTTCTATTTTATAGAGAGAAAGAATATGAAGTTGAGTGAGTTGGAGGGGGAACCTGGAAAGAACTGGGGGAGGAAAACTTTAAAATATATTGTATGAAATTCTAAAAAACCAAAAACATTAAAAAAAAGAATTGATGGCCCACAAGCCTGAATGGGATACTGACCTTCCAGGTAGAATAACCCGAGTCAACACCTGGAGGTCAGAGCAGTACATGGCGGGTCTACAGCGTAGACATGAGAGTGGAAGGTACGTGCTTGTGGCATGTGGTGTCTGGGGTGGGAGGAGAAAATGATGGACATATGGGGGAAAAAGAGACGGTTATAGGATGGATGAAGAAAGAGAAATTGTACGGGTGGGTTTACCACCATTTCTTTGAACAGGTAGCAGACAAATATATTGTTTTAGGAGCTTTATTTGCAATATAATGGAAGCTGGGTTGAAAGCATGGAGGAAGTCTTTTAGCAGTCTTTATTGCTTTAGTCAGGAGAAATATATTGGGAACACGAACTGCAAGAGCAGAAGCTAAAAAGAGAGAGCCAAGCACAAAGTAACGGGCTGGCGAGTGGAAGTGTTGGTTCCCCTAGTCAACAGTGAGATGATGAGGAGTGGAGTGCCAAGGTGATGCTCAGGGCTTAACTTCTGACCCATGGGCAGTGGCGGTGGAATGCGCCTACAGATGGGGTGAATGAATCTACGACACTGGGGCTTGGGGGGATGCTGAACGTTTCAGGCATGGATGGGCTATTTTTATGCAGTCTTCAGCAGGCAGCTGAATATGGGAGTCCCAAAGCTCACGCAAAAGTTCAGGGTTGAGAGGATTTGGTCATCATTAGGAAAACAGCAGAAATCAAAGGAGTAAAAGAAGTTGTGAAAGAAGGGCGAGGGTGCTGAAGAATGAACCTTGTGTGACTTCCCAGGCTGTGCAAAATACATTCCAGGAAGATCTGCTTAGCAATCTGCACATTTAGTCCCCGCGTCTTCAGCTCTCTGGTGAGGAATGTGCCTGCTAGGCTCCTCTGACTTCTCCAAGATCAATAACACACATTGGCCTGCTCTCAAAGAAGTGTATTTCACGGAGGAAGGCCAATACAGAGAGAAACAAATAGGCACAATTTTGTACCATGAGCGAAAGAACAGAGCTGTGTGTGTACACAGTACAGAGCGATAGGGAAAGGGGCATGAGTAACCTCAGCCGGGGTCAATGGCAAGACAGGCTTCTGGGGGAGGCGGCATTGGAAATAGCTTTGCTTGTCAGAGGGGAAAGATGTAGTAGGAACAAACTGTGCAGAAGCCTGGTGCATTCAAGGAATGGTTTTCCTTCTGGGGTTTCTCATGAGCAATCACAGCTTGTGTTGTACATCAGGGTTTGAAGTCTTTGTAAATCCAGCCTCTCCGTGGTTAGTCTTTCTCTTCTTCATCTCTGAGTTCCCACAAATTTGTTTATGAAGCTCTGCTTTATGCTTGGTTCAGATCTTTTTGGTTGAAATTTAGCTTCACCTTTTTGTTTTTGTTTTTTATTGATATTGCTCTTTTTAAAATGGAGGTGCTTGGGACCAGAGAGATAGCTCAGTGGTTAGGAGCCCTTACTGTTCTTATGGGTTCAGTGCCCAGCACCCACATGGCAACAACACACGACCATTTGTAACTCCAGTTCTGGGGCAACCAGGGCCTCCTTCTGATTTCCTCGGGTACCAGGCACACACACAGTGATCTTGTACACATACAGAGAAAACACTAATACACACAAAGTAAGTGAAGGTGGCCATGCTTCCTCATCACAAAGAGATCATTACAGTGGCCAACTGCCGGGTGCCTGGGCTCCTGGTTGGTGTGTTTGGCTGCATGGTGTGGGGTGCGGGGTTTCTCTGGAGTCTGGTGTGGTGCAATGAACACTTGCAAGCAAAGGCGTTTACGGTATGGCTCGCTGTGCCACACTGCAGCTTCCATGATGAGATTTTTTTAAAAGAAGTTTTTCTCTTTTTAAATGTTATTTTATGTTTCTCCCCTTTTCTCTTAAATTTTGTTTTATTTGGGGGGAGTGCAGGGGTGGAGGGCAGATGCGAAGGGATGGGGAAATGAATGGGATTAAGATATATGATGTAAAAGGCACATAGAGTAAATAAATAAATAAATAAACTTAAGAAAAGTGAGGATGGAACAACACCACTGTTGTTCGCTACACTCCACACGCGTTCATATATGTGGGTACATTCATGTGCGCACACATACAAAGTAATGCTACCTTTCACGGGACACACTTTGTCCCAAAGCCTCTCTGTGTTGACTGTTTGTTTGTTTGCTTCCAAATTGCGTTAATAACAGGGTGTCCTTTTGTGGTCATTAAGGCAGTCGTGAAGCCCACGTTTTCGATGGCAGCATGATAGTGCTGTCTATTCTATGTCCCAGCTGGCTGGGGTTAGCCTCAAAGTCAAGACATTGAGCATAGATGTGCCATTTTTAAGTACGAATCTTAACAACATTATTTTTGCTGCTTTGTGTTTTTGTAGTACTGTGTCATGACAGGGACTTTTCTTCTACCTCTTTCAGGTGTCAAAGCTATAATATTGTCTCAGAGATAACAAAGAGGTCAGAAAACATTCTTTGGAAAAAATAACAGAAAGATCCCTGATGTCTAAACAACAGAGTCCTCCAACATGCGATAAAATAAATTTGTCCTTTACATATTTAATTTTGAATTTTGTCAAGAGCGATAATTACCCTGTGTCATCTCAGAGCCTTGAAACTTTAGGAACCACCCAGCCATGGCTTTGCCAGAGAGAAACCTGGTTGGAATCATTGTACAGAAAATCTTGTGTTGGACCCCAACGTGAAAGATCTGGGACCCTGTGCAGAGTGGATACAGATACCTTAAAGGCAAAGAGTGACTAGACAGGAAGGACTTCATTTTAAATTGACAGGAGGCTCAAAGAATAAAATGCGGTTTTATAGCTCCGAGACTCCTGCATAAGCGTATCTATTTAATAAGATATAAAATTTGTGTGTGTTGCCACGTGCAAGGTGTTTATCTCTCTCTCTTTCTCTCTCTCTCTCTCTCTCTTTTGGTTTTTCGAGACAGGGTTTCTCTGTGGCTTTGGAGGCTGTCCTAGAACTCGCTCTGTAGACCTGGCTGGCCTCGAACTCACAGAGATCTGCCTGCCTCTGCCTCCCGAGTGCTGGGATTAAAGGCGTGCGCCACCAACGCCCAGCTGTGTTTATCTCTTCACAGACCTATTCGTACAAGCACCCATAATCCAAGCAGAGAACGTCGTCAGAAGCAGAGTGAGTCTTCTGCTCTGCTTTGTGGTGTTGTACACACGTGACATGGCTGGGGAAGGAATGAAAGCCTTCCTCTGCAGAGCCTGTCGTTGGATATGTGAGAACTAACTGGAAATGTGCCCATCTTTTTATTGCACCTCCTAAAGAAAGTGCCTTGCACACTGATTCACATAACCAGAGCTGGGTTAGCATTTTGTTACAGCTAAGTACAGATTGGGTAATGCATTGTGGTCTGTCTCACATCCTGTGTAAGGGGCGGGGAAACAGGCAGGGAAATAAACATCCCTTTCTTGAGATAGTGAGGAATGCTGGGCATGTAAACAATACCTGCTACCTTTCACCCACTGCAGAAATGGAGAGAGACACAGAGACAGAGAGAGAGAGACACACACACACAATGACAGAGACAGAGACACACACAGAGACAGAGAGACACACAGAAAGACAGAGGTAGAGAATTTAATCTCCATTTAGGAGATGATGCTTCGCTAGTGACTGACACTGTACTCGTATGATGAGATACAGTGTGAAAAAAGTCCCAGAGACATATGAGGATTCCAGGATGAGTCTTCCTGTGGTCTATACTCAGCTAGTATTTACCCTATTGTCCCTGAATTCTATTAAACAACCTTTTCTTAGCTCATTGGGTTTTATACAAGGTGTTCCCTTTGCTCTGTCATTTAGGCTGTCAGGTGTCTAAACTTTCTGGAAGACAGTGACAGCCCCAAGTGCAGGCTGAATCTTTCATTTTCCCTCCCAGAAAAATCAGTATTTGCCAAACTCACTAGTAGGGAAAGCCGAGAACCTATCCATCCATTCTCTTGACTTCCTTTCCACTCCCCAGGTTGAACACCCTGTATCCAGTTAGTCTCCTTTCTAGATTAACCTGCTCAACCACTGCTGTGGCTTAAAACTGGGGCAGTTGAGCAGTTCATAAGTTCTTTGGTGGGCAAGCAACCAGGGGACTTGGAATAGCCTCCATCATTTACCTGCAAAGGAGCTTTGTTGAGTTACCTCCTAGACTAGCAGCTTCTCTGAGCTACTGTGTTTTCTGAACAGGCTAAGGATGTTTACCAACTTTGGGGTTCTTCTCAGCACCTGGAATAGATATCTCTCCTCAGACACTTGAATATCTAAGGCTGTCTATTCCTCATCATCCCATGACTTAGATACTGTAAACACTTTGGAGATACCTTCATGGCTTCTTTTCCCCGTATGGATAATGTCCTTCTCTGGGCTATCAGAACACCAGTACCGTGGCACTAAGGTTGCCATAATTAGACTGAATAGTAGAAAGCGGTTTTTGGAACAACGAGACTAGTCAATAAACGTTAGCTATTGGTTCTCCTTATCAAATTGTGCCCAAGACAAACATTTATATCTATGTATAAATGATAGCTTCACTAATCTATAACTTCATGTGTATATGTGTATGCATGTGTATGTATATGTGAGTACAGACATACATGTACTACTGTGTGCTTTTGGAGGACAGAGAACAACTTTTAGGTCTCTTTTCATGCTCTCCACTTTGTTGGTGGCAGGGTCTCTCATTTCTGCTACTGGGTTGCACATTTCCTCTGGTGGCTCATGAGTGTCTGGAAGATTATCCACCTTTGTTTCCCATCCAACTGTGGGAGTTCTGCGATTATGGATGCAAACCATTGAGCTCAGCTTTTTATATGGACTCTGAGGGTCTGTACTCAGGTCACCAAGTTTGTGTGACAAGAATTTTTATTCTCTGAGTCATCACTCCACCCCCAGCCTATACATTGTTTAAGAATGAGACGGAAAGGAAGGTTTTTAAGGAGGAGCACAGAAAAGTACCTGTTTAAACCCTGACTGTATGAACATATTGCTACAACACAGACAGAAGCTTGTAGGGAAACTGGTAATCCACTTCGAGTTAAGCCCAATAGCTGATTCACACTATCCACCCCAACTGCCCCATGGAATAATCACTCATTTTGCTTTATACATGGCAAAAGGAGAATTAGGGAATTGAAAAGCATACACTCACTCAATGTCTACAAAGAAGGGAAGATGGAACCCCCACACATGGCTGACCCCAATTCCCAGGCTCTTGCTTTCATGTTAGCTCTTAGAGACATCACATTGTCCCGTGATGATTGTGAAGCAAGTGCTGTACCACTGAGCTATGTCCCCAGCCCTCCTTTTCAAATTTATTTTGAGAGAGGGTCTAATTACTGAGACTGGCCTTGAACTCATGAACCTATTGCCTCTGCTTCCCAGATAGCTGCTATAGCAGGCATGCGACATGAAACGTGTCAAAAGTAGTTTCTAACAAGCATTAACAATACAGTTCTAAGAGAGGTTATTACCAATGAAATGAGATAGTGATGGCTTTAACCCAAAGTTGATTTCTGGGTTGTTTGCTGGCTTGCTTGTTTTGATGTCATCAGAGCAGCCTCTTTGCACAGCTGTAAATTCCCAGGGGAACAAAACAAACTTTTGACAGTAACATGAATGAATGTGTTGTCAGGGAATCCTAGCTGTGTATAAACCCTTTCACTGCCATGTCTGGGACTGGTGCAAATGCTTCAGTTAGAGGTGTGAGTATGTGTGTGTGTGAGTGTGTGTGAGTGTGTGTGAGTGTGTGTGAGTGTGTGTACGTGTGTGTGCGAGTGTGTGCGTGTGTGCGCGTGCGTGCGTGTGCGCGTGTGTGTGCGTGTGTGTGTGTGTGTGTGTGTGTGTGTGTGTGTGTGTGTGTGTGTTGGGCAAGGGGAGGCTGAAACATAGACTTGCTGCCTCATTTAGTGGGAACCCTTTCAGGGACCATAAACTTTCAACGGAGGTTCGTGCCTAGCGTTTGTCAACTTGCCAAGAAACGTGAGAACAACTGGTGTTTGAGCAAAGGCTGAGTATACACAGGGAAGCTGAGCTCTAGATTCAAGTTCACACTCCCTTGCCTGAGCCCCCTCTTAGTTACACTAATTACATAATCTGCAAAGTTAAGATGGCCAAATGATTCTTGCTGACTGCATGGTTTGGTGTAGGGATGCTCTTCCCTGTAGGCCGCTTTGAATGTGCCTTCGACATGGAGCTATGGCCTATGGGAGACACAGCTGTTGAGAAGCTCAGGGTGAGTGGGAAGGAAGAAGGTTCTATGACAGGGATGGAGAGATAGCACATGTTCTGTGGTAGAATTTTCCTGGGCTGCTTATAAGCTCAGTGGTTGGTTGTAGGTGACCTTTGAGAGAATCTCAGTTTCCTCAGTTATAAATAGGGTTGATTAACATATCCTGAGATTTGGGGGACAATGCATGTAAAGTGCTGGCATCTAGGAATTCCCTGAGAAATGCCAGAGATAGCTATGATTTTATTTTATTGAAAAATGAAAAGCACTGGACGCCACCCTGAGAAGAATTGGGACTCAGGCCTAGTGTGATTTGTGCCGCTGATAGCCCCCTCTCTGCATTTTTCTTGCTCTCTTGCCCTTCTCGAGTCCTCTGTTTACTTCTGGTCAAATTAATGTTCCAAACTCACACTTATCAATCCCCCCCTTTTTTTCTTTTCAGCCTTTTGATAAATCCAAACAAAGCTGCTGGAGCTGACCTGACAAAATAGTTACAGGCTTTGTCTGGAAGTCACAGTTGTCTTTCTTCTTTTTGCCCCTGCCCAATTCTTCCTTTTGGCCCCTTCACTCACTTTTGTTGGCAATAGAAATGTATTGTGAGACCGATTATCAAATGTGTAATGTAAATGCTCACCTTGACACGTCGGTGAGCAAAGACTTAGATTTGGATAGTGGACTGAACTGAAATGTCTTCCTGGGAGTGTCCCGGGAAACAACTGTCAGATGTGACCCTTCGATGGAGAACAGGCTTTCCAGATTTTGGCTAAGGGGGCAATCTCCCGAGGTGCTCGTTAGAGTTTGAGTAACCTCCAGCACATTTGCTGTGAGCGACGTGGAGGATCCCCTCCCAGCTCCACCACCACTGTGCTGGCCAGGCTGAGGTTCCAGCTGTGGCAGCGACGGACATTTAATTTGCTTGTTATTGGGTTATTAACGCTGGACATTTGTCATCTGATGTTTCATCTTTGTTCCCTTTCTGCAAATCTGCTCCTAATGAGGATGGTTTTAAAAACAAGTTAGGTCAAGAATTGATGCATGGAGTATGCTGTGTTAGTTTCTATTTTATTTCACTTCATAAAAAAATTGTAATTTTGGAACCCAGCAACCAAAATTTCTGATGATATATGGGCAAAGCTCACAAAACACCCCAACAACCACATCCTGTTTCTAAGGGAAGATTTAATGGCAGGCCTGCTCAGTGAAGCTCATATGAGTTCATTACCTTTATAAAACAGTCTAGAGGAATTTTACCAGTGTCCAAGCCACTGCTCTTAATGGTTTTCTAGGACACATTTCTGTAAAAGAATGAAAGACAGTTTGCCCTGTGTTTGCCTTGCTTTTCTTGTGTGTGTCTGTGGCTTTTCTTTTTCCTTGGTAATTTTCTGGATTCAAACTTTGAGCTCCCCAAATCTCCTCATCATTGTATTAGTTCCCCACAAAGGAGTGTTGCAGCATTTCACTGACCCTGTGGTAAAGTCGTTCTAAGCCTGTATTATTGTCTAAGTTGGAAGCTGTGGGCATCTCCTTGACTTTGAGTAGAACTTCAGCTGAGACACAGGCTCCACTTCTGACATCCATGCTG